CGTCACAGGCTTGACACCTTGATCTCCATCGAAGTATTGTTGTCGTCTCACCAACTATTGCTTCTACGACTATCGCTACCGCTTAGTGATAAAGTAAAACAATTACATGGCGATTGCATTTCATACAATAAAGCGACAACCATATGGCTCCTGCCAGTTGCCGATAACTCTGTTACAAAACATGATCATCTCATACAATAAAAATTTAGCATCATGTCTTGACCATATCACATCACAACATGCCCTGCAAAAATAAGTTAGACGTCCTCTACTTTGTTGTTGCAAGTTTTACGTGGCTGCTACGGGTTGAGCAAGAACCGTTCTTACCTACGCATCAAAAACCACAACGCGGTATAGTGATTGCTTTTTGATCTTCAGAAAGAACCATGTTCATTGAATCTGATTCAACTAAAGTTTGATAAACTGACACCTACCAGCCACCTGTGTGCGAGGCATGTCGGTAAAACCCGTCTCGCGTAAGCATACGCGTAATGTCGGTCTGGGCCGCTTCATCCAACAATACCGCTGAATCAAGAATCAACTAGTGACGGCAAGCAATATGTATATACCCACGCCCACAACTCCTTTGTATTCTACTCGTGCATATAACATCTACGCGTAGACCTGGCTCGGATGCCACTGTTGGGGAACGTAGTAATTTCAAAAAAAATCCTACGCACACGCAAGATCTATCATGGTGATGCATAGCAACGAGAGGGAAGAGTGTTGTCCACGTACCCTCGTAGACCGTAAGTGGAAGCGTTATGACAATGCGATTGATGTAGTCGTACGTCTTCACGATCCGACCGATCCTAGTACCGAAAGTACGGCACCTCTGTGATCTGCACACGTTCAGCTCGGTGACGTCCCATGAACTCTCAATTCAGGTGAGTGTCGATGGAGAGCTTCGTCAGCAAGACGGCATGATGACGGTGATGATGAAGCTACTGGCGCAGGGCTTCGCCTAAGCACTACGACGATATGACCGAGGTGGATTATGGTGGAGGGGGCACCGCACACGGCTAAGACAATGATCAACTTGTGTGTCTATGGGGTGCCCCCTCCCCCGTATATAAAGGAGTGGAGAAGGGGGAGGGTCGGCCCTCTATGGCGCGCCCTAGGGGAGTCCTACTCCCACCGGGAGTAGGATCCCCCCTTCCAAGTAGTAGGAGTAGAAGAGAAGGAAGGGGAGGAGAGAGGGAAGGAAAGGGGGAGGGGCCACCACCCAATTCGGATTGGGCTAGGGGGGCGCGCCTCCCATCTTTTTCCTTCCTCTCCTCTATTCCACTAAGGCCCAATAAGGCCCATATACTCCCCGGGGGGTTCCGGTAACCTCCCGGTACTCCAGAAAATGCCAGAACTCATTCGGAACCATTCCGATGTCCAAACATAGGCTTCCAATATATCGATCTTTACGTCTCGGCCATTTTGAGACTCCTCATCATGTCCATGATCATATCCGGGACTCCGAACTGCCTTCAATACATCAAAACACATAAACTCATAATACCGATCGTCACCGAACGTTAAGCATGCGGACCCTACGGGTTCGAGAACTATGTAGATATGACCGAGAATCATCTCCGATCAATAACCAATAGCGGAAGATGGATGCTCATATTGGTTCCTACATATTCTACAAAGATCTTCATCGGTCAAACCGCACAACAACATACGTTGTTCCCTTTGTCATCGGCATGTTACTTGCCCGAGATTCGATCGTCGGTATCTCAATACCTATTTCAATCTTGTTACCGACAAGTCTCTTTACTCGTTCTGTAATGCATCATCCCGCAACTAACTCATTAGTCATATTGCTTGCAAGGCTTATAGTGATGTGCATTACCGAGAGGGGCCAGAGATACCTCTCCGATACTCTGAGTGAAAATCCTAATCTCGATCTATGCCAACTCAACAAACACCATCGGAGACACCTGTAGAGCATCTTTATAGTCACCCAGTTACATTGTGACATTTCATAGCACACTAAGTGTTCCTACGGTATTCAGGAGTTGCATGATCTCATAGTCATAGGAATATGTATAGGTTATGGAGAAAGCAATAGCAACAAACTAAACGATCATCGTGCTAAGCTAACGGATGGTTCAAGTCAATCACATCATTCTCTAATGATGTGATCCCATTAATCAAATGACAACTCATGTCTATGGTCAGGAAACATAACCATCATTGATTTAACGAGCTAGTCAAGTAGAGGCATACTAGTGACACTCTGTTTGTCTATGTATTCACACATGTACTAAGTTTCCGGTTAATACAATTCTAGCATGAATAATAAACATTTATCATGATATAAGGAAATATAAATAACAACTTTATTATTGCCTCTAGGGCATATTTCCTTCAGTTCAACCCCTATCCTCCGACCGCCCCGCGAGGTACCATCCGCTACTTCTATACTGACCATTCCCGGCAACTGGTCGATGAATTACCGGAGCTAAAAACAATTTTTCCTTTCTAGCAATGGATTTCGATTTGGAGCATGTATACGTATGTTGAGTCGTCCGACGAGGAGGAGTACTAGGATGATACGGCGATGTTATAGGTGGTCCTTTAAGACACAGAGCGTGCAGGGGAGCATGTTCTCAATTTCAAGGGTTCGGTCAAGGGTCAGCGAGTGCTCAAATGCAATAGGGTGCGTGGCCATTTGACACTGATGACCGACTACTTTGCCTTGGATGCGCTCTTCGCTCACCATTTTCGTTGGTGTTTTCAGATGCGCAAGATTGTCTTCGATCGTTTGTACCATGGCGTACGGTCTTATGATTACTACTTCGTCTTCAAGAAGGATGTCATGAGAGTGATTGGCTTCTCTGGCTATCAGAAGTGCACGAGTGCGCTACAGATGCTTTCATATGGCACCGTCGTTGATTCATGGGACGAGTACCAACGGGTGTTTGAGAGCACAGGCGGAGATGCCATGGTCAAGTTTGCAACTGCCGTGGTCGAGGTGTTCGGACCTCAGTACCTGAGAGAACCAACTGTGGCAGACACCAAGAGGCTCTTGGCAATCTCAGAAGCAAGAGGATGGCCAGTCTCTTGACTACATGCATTGAAAATGGAAGAACTGTCCAAAGGCTTTACAAGGGCAATATTAGGGTCACGTTAAGAAGCCCACCATCATTTTTGAAGCAGTTGCATTACAAGATCTTTGGATTTGGCACGCTTTCTTTAGCATGTCCGGGTCTCACAATGACATCAATGTGTTGCAGTGATTACCATTGTTTGTGAGGCTGGCTGGAGGAAAAGCTCCTCCTGCCACAATATTGTTAATGGACATGAGTACAAGATGGGCTACTATCTGGTTGACGGTATCTATCCTCCGTGGGCTACCTTTGTCAACATCATCTCTAACCCAGTTAGCCAGAAAAAGGCTCACTTTGTCCAAAGACAAGAAGCAGTTAAAAAGGATGTCGAGAGTGCATTTGGAATACCGTAGGCCCATTTTGCAGGTGTTTGTGGACCTACTAAACAATGGGATCCGGAGACCTTGTGGAAGGTGCTGACATATTGTGTGATCATGCACAACATGAGTTGAGGATGAGGGTGATGATGCTGCCGCCGCTCTAGAATTTGAGAACATATGGGTGATCCTATCCAACTTCCAGACTAGATTCCGACCACATTTGAAGAGTTTATTCAAATGCATCAACAAAATCGGCAGCGACCAACTCACGAGCAGCTGAACAAAGATCTGATTGAGTATCAGTAGGTGGTTTAAGGGGACAACAATGTTGGCATGTACTCTATGATAAGGTTTGATCAAAGTCAAACTTTGTTAACTTTGACTAAGTTTATAGAAAATAATATCGAGATTCACAATATGAAATCAATATTGTTAGATGCATCATGAAATTAATTTTAATACGATATAGCTTTATATTGTAGATGTTGATATTTTTTTCTATAAAGTTGGTCAAACTTCACAAAGTTTGACTTTGACCAAATCTTATACGCAAACTAAAAAGGAACAGAGAAAGTAATATTTAAACTTTTCAAAATTTGAATTAGTGTTGCATGCGCGCTATTTGATCGTGCGGACTTTAAAAAATGAGGGAGCCTAGATGTCTGGATGTATGCAACTATGATTGGATGACGGTCTCCCGTATCCGTGTTCCCGGACAAATGCGAAAGAAAATTTACGGATTACCGTTGGAGATGCTCTAACCAGGTTTAATTTACCCCTGAGTTTTCTTTGTATCCTTCTTTGTAACAATCAACAACTATGAGTTTTAATAAGAGCTGGGCTACATGAGGCACCGGAGAAGAGATAAAAGCAAAAAATGTATACACCAACAGCACACATAGCATAGAGAAACAAAGGGGGGAAACACAACACAGCAAAGAGCACCGTGGGCAAAGTCGAACGGCATCGGCCAGCCGAGACCAAAACCAACACACTGCTTTGTCGAAGCAATTCAATCGAGACTGCACGACGCCGCGAAACCTGGCAGAGAGGCAGAGACACCCCTGCTGCCACAGACATCATGATTTATTTTGATTTACTTGTGGGGAGCCACAGACAACATCTGACCAAGACGACACTGAAGACAGCAACGTCGACGACGAACGCTGCTTTATAAACCGGCAGGCACGAGCAACACGAGCCAATGCAGAGACCAGACCGAACACTGATAAGCAGCAGCCACAGCTCCTAGCTCCTCCTTCCTCCTCCATCTCCATGGAAGCCACCAACTGCTCCATTGCTCTGGAAACCGCAGGCCATGCCGCCGCACACGGCACGAGCGCGCCCGCTCTGCTCCTCATGTCTTCTGCGGCCGTGATCGTCGCGTTTCTGGTCTACTTCTACGTGCCATTCTGGGCCCTCAGGAGGGTCCCGGGGCCTCCAACCAGGTTTCCCCTCGGCCATCTCCATCTCCTCGCCAACGACGGCCCAGACGTCTTCCGCGCCATCGCCAAGGAGCACGGCCCCATCTTCAGGTAGCAATGTTGTATCCATCTTCTGGTGCCATGTAGTAATGGCGTTCCAAAACATGGACGTGATGCTCGATCGGTGCAGGTTTCACATGGGGAGGCAGCCGCTGGTGATCGTGGCGAACGCGGAGCTGTGCAAGGAGGTGGGCATCAAGAAGTTCAAGGACATCCGCAACCGGAGCACCCCGCCGCCGACGGTGGGGTCGCTGCACCAGGACGCGCTCTTCCTCACCCGGGACTCCACGTGGTCCTCCATGAGGAACACGGTGGTCCCGCTCTACCAGCCGGCCAGGCTCGCCGGCCTCGTCCCGACGATGCAGCCCTACGTGAACGCGCTGGTGGACAGCGTCGCCGCCTGCCCGGACCAGGACTGCGTCCCCTTCTGCCAGCTCTCGCTGCGCATGGCCATCGACATCATCGGCAGGACGGCCTTCGGCATCGACTTCGGCCTCTGCAAGAAGGTCGCCGCTGCGGACGGCGGCGAGGACGTGAGGGGGTTCCTGGAGGAGTACAAGAGGTCCATGGAGTTCATCAAGATGGACCTGTCCAGCTCGCTGTCCACCATCCTCGGGCTCTTCCTCCCGTGCGTGCAGACGCCGTGCAAGCGCCTGCTGCGGCGGGTGCCCGGCACGGCGGACTACAAGATGGAGGAGAACGAGCGCCTGCTGTGCCGCCGCATCGACGTCATCATCGCCGGCCGGCGCAGGGAGCGCGAGAACAGCGCCTCCCCGTCGGGCGCCGCGCTGGACTTCATCGCGGCGCTGCTGGACGCGAGGGAGAGCGGCGCCAGGGACGTGGCGCTGGAGGACAGGCACGTGCGCGCGCTGGCGTACGAGCACCTCATCGCCGGGACCAAGACGACGGCGTTCACGGTGTCGTCGGTGGTGTACCTCGTGTCGTGCCACCCGCGCGTGGAGGGGAAGCTGCTGGCGGAGGTGGACGCGTTCGGCGGCGCGGCCCCCGACGCCGACGACCTCCAGGATCGGTTCCCGTACCTGGACCTGGTGATCAAGGAGGCCATGAGGTTCCACCTGGTGTCGCCGCTGATCGCCAGGGAGACCTCGGAGGAGGTGGAGATCGCCGGGTACCGCCTCCCGAAGGGCACGTACGTGTGGCTGGCGCCGGGGGTGCTGGCCCGCGACGCGCGGCAGTTCCCGGGGCCGGAGGAGTTCCGGCCGGAGCGGTTCGCGGCGGAGGGGGAGGAGGAGCGGGCGCGGCACCCTTACGCGCACATCCCCTTCGGCATCGGGCCGAGGGCGTGCGTGGGGCACAGGTTCGCGCTGCAGCAGGTGAAGCTCGCCGTGGTGCACCTGTACCGACGGTACGTCTTCCGCCACTCGCCGGCCATGGAGTCGCCCATCCAGTTCGACTTCGACCTCGTCCTCGGCTTCCGCCACGGCGTCAAGCTCAGAGCCATCAGGAGGACGACGAGGGACTGATTCGCCAGGCCTTTCGACGTGCAATCACAAGCATGAGCATGATACGACGGCTTGGGTGGCGTGGTGTGTCCGTCTGTGAGTGAGCTGAGTTTACATCATGTATAGCTAGGGATATGTCGGCGTGATTAAGCTGCTAATATTCTGATTAACTAGTTCTAAGTTGTTTAAGAAACGGTAATCTGAAATGTGCGGCAACTAGCTCTTTTGTGTTCAACTTGGAACTATCAGTCCGATCAACTTGGAAACAGGCAATCCCATCAATATTTTGATATTGGAAGTTGTAAATGTGCTGCGGAAATTGATTTGCACGCAATGATACTATTATTACCAGGTCAATTGATTTGCAAAAATGTTATCAGATGCGAGCATGGATTTGGACAATTTTAGACAAATGAAACTAACACCTTGATCTGCAAGAATACATTAATAAGATGGATAAACACTGGCACTGTAGGAATGTTGATACACTTGATTTCTTGCTTCACTTAACAGTTACTCCTCCTGCTCGAAAATGCAAGCAATTCTACTAGTTTTGTCCCGAAGTCCAACTTCTTCTCAGTTTGACCGAGTCTATAAAAAAATGTACTACCAAAATCCATATTTTTTTCCCATAAACTTGGTCAAAGTGACAAAACTAGAACCACTTACATTTCGGATCAGAAGGAACATTAACAGTTATCATGTTCCAAACATGCTTTAACCTTGGCTGGACAGATGATATTTACGAGTAGGCTTAGGTACTTAGATATATTTTACTAAAGCTATATATGCTTCAGGTGCTGGATGTTCTCCTTTCATTTTGACTGCGCCTGCCCAAAGAAAGAACGAGTGCTCTTTCTGGCAAAATAAGGCAGCGGATTATCGATGCCAAAATGTTGCACGAGGAGGAAGAGAATAGAATCACTTTCATAGAACATAACTTCACAATGTTTACAGATAGGGTTCAGGAATGCCAGTTACATACATACAAGCCCTACAGCTGCACCTTCCTGGTTTTCATAGTTTACAAGTGTGTGATCCTGGAACAACAACCTACTTTTGCACACCAAAAACTATATATGGAAGAACCAATGCTAACTTGCCATGCAAAACATGAAACTAATTCAAGAACTCTTAATGTAACAAATGAATGCTCTGTTGCTAAAACAGGCGTGTGGAAATGCACGCTTGTGTTATACATGGAAATCGCCTGGTAAAGAAGGAAATCATGGATTAGAAAATAGTAAGCACTCGAATACTTTGGTGCAAAGGCGAATGAATAAGAACCGATAAGGTACTTCAACTGATATACCTGAAATGTGCTTGGCAAGGCAGTAGATGGGGCCAACAGATCATTGAAGATATATATCTGCAGCAAATGTCTAACCAAGCGTTGAAAGGTCCTGAATACCACCTACTGCTAAACATTCAAGCTCATTGATTATTAAAAGTAACAGTGAAATAAAGCATATGAAGTCTGATACCGAGCACCACGTACCTTGAAGGAACTACCGGAGCTCGTCATGAGACCCATAATCATCTTCTGTGAATAAAGCACTGTAAAATACATAGGGGTTCTCAATCATCTCATTCAAACTCAGCTGTCCATCTTTGTTTGTGTCAGCCTACATACAGAAAGGTCTATCAGATAACAAATCAGCAGGTAATTTCTTGAGAAACATACTGCAGAATTACTCATTCAACTTGGTTGGAGTTGACAGAATGTATCGAAGCAAAGGTTGCTAGAAGATCATGGTACATGGGTTACGAAATCTAGAGGACAATTCTGACAGCATTAAATAGAAAGGCAAGCCAAAATATCCTAGAAACAGAATGAGATGCTGTCATCTCGTTACCTGTGATATCACATAGTCAGCTTGTTGCTTGGCATAGAAGTTTTCTGCTGGATGGAGTTTTCCGATGATAGGTTTTAGCTCGTCTGCTGACAAAAGCCTACAGAAAGGGCGAAGCCTCCAAACTCAGACTCACAATTACATTATTCAGTAAATATGACAAATAGATGACACCAGGAACTGTAATTTTTACCCATCATTATCCAGATCAAGCTGTGAAAACGATTTTCTAGCCGGTGCATCAGAGCCATTGGAGTCATCTGTTGAAGTTTCATCATCGTAATGTCGAACTGAATAAAACAATCCATTATAAAACTCTTGGAAATTGAGCTTCCCGTCATTATCTTTGTCTCTTTCCCTGAATAGTCAACAAAAACCGATCTTACAATGGTGATTGTCAAAATGTAACCTGACTCCTATAAGAGAAGCTCACAGGCATGTGATTGTGTCAGGGTTCCTAAAATAAATTCAGTTTGATAAACATTTCAGCCTGGATCACCTGCTTGGTACTGGCTAACACAATAGTACAAAGATTTTGGACAATCCATAAACTGGATGAAATAGCTGGTTTTAATTGGTTTGCGGTGTGATGGGCAGAGATTTTGAGTCAACATGATTCATACTAGTTTCAAGAAATGCTATACTATTCTGTTTACCTGCACAAATGGTTTGGGACTCAGCAAGAATCAGTATAATTATACGTAATAAACCAAATTCAGAGTATGGACTTGTTGTTTTCATATGACTCCTTGATACCCAAAGTGCCTAACCAAAACCATGACAAGTTAGCCTTAGTTCGGCAATGTTTAGCTTGAGGCCGAAATTTTGGTAATGTGATGTTTTTGGTGGCTCTCTAGTTCAACTATAGGAGCCAAATAACAGCAAGAACCTGGCCAGCCAATTAGCCAACGTACTACAGTAACACCCAAAAAAATCAGCTAGGTTTCATAAGCTACTTTGGGCACAAATCAAACACACACTAAGTCTTCCATTAAATTCCTAAGGCTTAGTTCTTAAAACGGCTGGATTCAAGTACCAACGAATTCCATGCAGCTGTTTGACATAGTTGACTAATCAAGTACCAAGATACTCCCTCCGTACCATAATATAAGAGCGTTTTTACACTAGTGTGGTGTCAAAAACGCTCTTATATTATGGGACGGAGGGAGTATGTCATAAAATGCTTCAGAGTTCGGTTATAACTAAACCGCACGAAAACTAATACTAGAATAAGTCTAGAATGTATCTATAACTAAAATAAGTCTAGATACAACCATTTCTAGGACAAGTATTTCCGGACGGAGGGAGTGTGTAGTATCATGCAGCATCATAGTTGAGAAATAAGTCAATTACAGGAATTAATGAGAAGTCAAAATGTCGACCCCTTTACTATGATCCATGGTTTATTTGATTAACCAATAATAGTTTTCGAATTTCCAAATGATCTGCCTCTGATATCACTAAGAGTATGACCAGAAATTCCATAAAGGTTCTTCTTTTATTTTCAAGAAAAAAACTTTCCATCTTCATTCTTGTTTGCAGAACTGAACACTAATAAGGCCATGCAAAAGTATGCTGTTGAAATCTGAAAGGAAAATGTGCATGGAAAAAAGTTGGAGAAAAGAAGCACCTGACTTCTTCTTTGCACAACCAATGTATTAGCTTTGGGTTGGTAGTATCAGCTGGATGTAAGAAGCTGCATGCAGTGAATCAAGTAAATCATAGGTAGAACAATCATGGTACTTCAGAAGCTAAAGGAGGTCAGATAGAAAGTTATACTTGTTAAACTCCGTCAGATTTAGAAAGCCGTCACCGTCCATATCCGCAGCATTGAAGTGCCCCTCCTTCCACCATCCCATCCCATCACTGGTTGAGTTATTATCTGGACATATATGAGATTTAGTGCTCAACTCACATCGTTAAGGCACACATGTGATCATTTGGTAGTTGAAGAGCACGGTTTATCAAAGGATGCTTGACCTACTTATTACGAGCTTGATAGGCGCACATGAATTTATTTATTTTTACTTTCAGTGTGAGATACAACTTTGTTAAGCCACATGGGAACTATTCAAGCTGGATCTATATGCAAAACTCTGTTTAATAGATCTAGAATATGAATGCTCCAAGTTTACTAGTTGAACCAGGAAACACATTGAGAACTGTACAAGTAAAGTCTTCGCAAGATGCATAAAAATAGGTGCTTGGTATGCTTAGAAAATTGTTCAGGACGCGAACTTAGAATGGTACCTACCAGAGTTTCCCCAAATACGGTCAATCCTAGACAATGGCATTATATGAACGCTCAAAAGAGCACAGTGAGTTAAATGTAGTCAGGACTGAGGACCGGAGAGCCTATGTAAATGACTTAGAATATCCAGCAGAACGGGCATGAGCTGCACTCATTCTCTTCCTTTTTGAAGGCTGCATTCATTATACTAAGTGGATTGGACTACAGCTCTGAATCAAATACTACTCCCCGTCCCATAATGTAAGACGTTTTTTGACTTAGTGTAGTGTCAAAAATCATCTTGCATTATGGGACGGAGGGAGTACATCACAGCACCAAAATCCAGAGCTTACTCGGCTACCCTGACATTGGTATAATTATCTCCCAATAAACGAACTTTTTCCTGACTAGGCGCATCCGCGCATGTATCGCTACACAGATCCAAAAATGGGGACTTCAACAGCTCGGATCATACACATACGTACGTACCGTCGAACCGCCAAGCCCAGCTGGGCCTCTCGTACTCGGAGAAGGCGACGCGGCCGTCGTGGTCGCGGTCGTGCAGGTCGAGCTCCCGGGCGGTGCGGTGCAGCACCTCCCGCCGCGCGGACGCGAGATTCCACGCGGCCAGCTCGGCGCCCGTCACGGCGTCGTCGGCGGGGTCCACGTCGATCTTGGGGAAGAGCGCCGCCACGCGCAGCGTCATGTTGAACCGCGCGGCGTCATTGATGTACTCGTCCTCATAGTCTGCGAGGTCCTCTGGGACGGGGGCAGACTCCATGCCCGGCGCGTGCAGCCCCGCGGCAGCCAGGCGCTCCCACTCGCGGTCGTCCAGGCGGCGCTCGAGGTCGGCGATGACGGGGTCGAACGGGATCTGGTGCGGGGTGGCGCCTCCGTGCCTGAGGTGGGCACCACGCAGGCGGAGGCGGCGGTGGGGGTGCGGGTGCGCGGATGGCGACGAAGGGGACAGGTGGACTAGGAGGAAGAGGAGGCTCGCGGAGGCGAGGGCCAGGACAAGTGTCAGGACGACGGTTGGCGCTGCCGAGGGCTTCCTCGCCGCCGCCGACGGCTGCGCCATGGCCGACGAGTCACGACTTGGAGCGCTTCTCTCGCTTTCTTTTCTCGATGTTTCTTTCTTCGCTTTGAGAAGTGGCGACTGTCAAACTTGTCTCGAGGCCTCGTGGAGTCGTGGGTGAACTCACTGTACTTCTTTTTTGTTTTTTCGTTTCTTGGAGCATCTTCACTCAGCGCCCCAACAGCCCTCCAGGCCGAGTTTTTTTTATCCGGCGCCGAAAAAAACGCAATCGGCCCGGACGTCGAATTCTGTCAGCTAGGCCCATTTTTTGACCCGGCAATCACAGGCCGAACCCAGCACACTGGGGGCGCTTGAAGGCTCCGGCGGAAGGAAAAACGACGCATGGGCCACCATCGTCAGGCGAGAATGATTTTTTGCACGTCCAGCTTCGCCCCGCGCGAGCACTGCCTCTTCCGCCGCCGTGCCGATCCCGACGATGCCCACCTGACCACCGCCGCTAGGAAGGCCATTTTCCCGTAAAAAAGAGAGGGTTCACCGCCGTATCCTTCATCCCGCTCCTGAGCGAGCTTTCCGGCGCTTCGGCCGCGCGGGCGGGGATACCGGCGGCTGCGCGCCCACCACGCCCGACAGGTGTTCGGCGGTTTGTCTGCTCGACGATGGACTCAAACGATGAGGAGGTGTTCGCGGTGCTGCTGGAGGAGGAAGCCTAGGCCGACGCACAGGACGAAGAGCACCTCATGGTCCTCGCCGCTCTGGCCAGCCTGTTCGCGAGCAATGCAAAGCCACGGCGAGGTGGCTCGGTGTCGGGTCGCCATTAGAGCAAGCAGAGGCATCGTATGGAGGGCTATTGCTTGCTCTACGCCGACTACTTCGCCGGCGCTCCACTGCACGGCGAGAAAGTATTTCGGCGCCGTTATCGGATGAGCCGAAAGCACTGCCTCGAGATTATGAATTCCATCCGAGAGTTTGACAGCTACTTCAAGTGCAAGAAGGATTGCACCGGCACATTTGGATTCACCTCACTCCAGAAGTGCACGACAGCTATGAGGATGCTTGCATACAGAGCACCCGATGATATACTGGAAGATTATGGACGCATGGCCGAGTCCACCACCATTGAGTGTTTGTACAAGTTCTGCAAGGCAACAGTGGTAGTGTTTGGACCACAATACTTGCGATCACCCAATGTTGAAGACACTACTCAGGTCCTAGCACAAAATGCATCAAGAGGATTTCCTGGGATGCTTGGAAGCATCAACTGCATGCACTGGGCATGGAAAAATTGTCCATTTGCTTAGCAGGGGATGTATAAAGGCGCCAAAGGAGCTTGCAGTGTGGTACTTGAGGCAGTGGCCACACAGGACCTATGGATTTTCCACTCCTTTGGTATGCCAGGAACTCACAATGACATCAACGTACTGCAGTGCTCGAATGTCTTTGCCAAGCTTGTCGAAGGTCATGCTCCTTCGATGAACTTCGAGGTCAATGGGTGCCACTACAACAAGAGATACTACCTAGCAGATGGCATCTATCTGAGATCGTCCACATTTGTGAAGACCATTTCAAACCCTGCGCTAGGAGGCAAGAACTCCTACTTTGCCAAGTGTCAGGAGGCTTGCAAGAAGGATGTTGAGTGGGCATTTGGTGTACTCCAATATTGATTTGTTGTTGTTCGGTACCCCGCTCTAACCTGGTCGAAAGATCAAATGTGAGAAGTCATGACTTGTTGTGTCATCTTGCACAATATGATCATTGAGAGCGAGCAGGAAGAGTCAGTGCTTGACACTGAATCATATTACAGGCAAGTTCCTCTTGCCCAAATTGATCACCAGCTACCGGCAATCTGGGTTGCCTTCCTCAATATGCGTCAGGAGATCCGAGACCCACAGATGCATCAAGAACTGCAGCACAATTTGGTGCAGCGCCTATGGAGGCTCAAGGGCAGCGCCTATGGAGGCTCAAGGGCAACGCCTAGCTCGACGTGTGATGAAATATGAGTTTTTATTTGTGTTTGGATTATGACTTTGATCGTTGAACTATTTGATTTGTATTGATTTCTGTGATGAACTATGTGATAAAAACTAGTTTTTGCTGAATTTGTGCTGAAACATGCCGAATGTGGGCCTCATTTGGGCCAAATTGCGCTGAAATTGGGTCGAAATCGGTGGCTAGGGACGAACTTTGGGGGTCGGCTGGGAACCCGAGCCCCCCCCCCCACCCACGCCGATTTTACCATTGGTTGGCCCCCAGGCGGTGATATTTCAAGGCTCTGGGGGGCTGAACGGCTGGAGATGCTCTTAAACTGATCACTGCACTCTGAAAATCTCAATTTAAAAGTCACCTTTTTGCAAATCCGGGCTCTTATTTTACAAATTCTTGACAAAATAGTCGTCTGGAGGAAGGCAGGCCTCGGAGGTGATGGTGGATTAGATTGTTTTGTGAGAGAGTAAACTAGTTTGTTCCTAGGGTGTTGGTGTTGGTGTTTGACGATGGTCCACGTCACCGAGATGTTCGCATCCTGTTCGCATTCTTGTAAATATTTTCTCCTTCTATAAAAATATGCTACGTCATTGGCGTACTCTAAAAAACACCTTCTTTCTGCGGGTATGGTTACTTTTTTTAGAGAGAGAAATTCTCAATCTATTCATCAGTCATGACGGTATAGAGAACACGAGAGGTAATAAAAATTACAACCAGGTCTATGAACCACCTAGCAACGACTACAAGCATTGGAGCGAGCCGAAGGCGCGCCGCCGTTATCGCCCCTCCCTCACCGAAGTTGGGCAAACCTTGTTGTAGTAGACAGTCGGGAAGCCGTCATGCTAAGGCTAAAAAGGACCAGCGCACCAGAGCAGCAACCATCACCGATTAAGAGAGTTGTAGATTGGAAAAGTCAAACTTGTAACCACACGGACAAAAACGAGCAAAAACATGATCCAAATAGAACAGTCTGAAAACTTGCATTCTTCAAACAATGTTGAAAGGTTGATGCGCAGTCTGAAAACACACCAGCACCAATCGCTACGTACGGGCTTCAAACTTTGATTACTTCATTTCACGCTTGCACAAGGTCTAAAGAATCCATGAGCGTCCCAACTTCACCAACAACTAGAAGCATAGGCATGTCTTGCCGCACCATTGAGGATTTACTTTAGTTAACAAAAATACCAGTGGAGTGACTGAATTTTTCCAAAATATCCTTAAGGTTCATGAACCGATTTTCAACAACATGCATAGTCACGAGGGGGCCATTAGCATATTGGATGATGGATATTTCTGACATGGAAATTATCAATATGGAGCCTAAGACCACCATTATACCAAGCTTCATTAATAACAGACCAAAGAAGGTCAACAACAAGCACAAATAGGAGTGAGGATAGGGGATCACCTTGTCAGTCCTCTCTTTCGCAGTGAGTGGCTTTTCGAGATGCTCCATTGAGCGGGAAAGAGGTGGAGGCAGATTGAAGAATTTTGTTTACCATCCAATCCATTTAGGACCAAATCCTTTTGCCTCAAGCATAACAAGAATAGTGCAATATTCCACTTTATCAAAAGCTTTCTCAAAGTCAAGTTTGAGAATCATGATGGGTTTCTTAGAGTGGTGGCACAAGTGGAGATACTAAAAAACCCAACCAAGATAATCATGGATGGTTTACCTTTTAATAAATCCATATTGGATTTGGTGAGGATTGGGATGCTTGGTGAAGAACTTCAAAGGGAGGCTAACCGGATAGATAGGCCTATAGTCATTCATTGTTTCAGATGGCTATATTTTTAGGTATTAAAGTGATGTAAGCAATGTTGATACTGTGGACATCAGAGCTCACTTCAAATAAATCATTAGTCATTTGTATAAATCCTCTTTTATAATTCCCCGACATCTCTTGAGAAATAATCTGTGAGATCCATCTAGCTCAGGAGTTCTTCTAGCAATGAATTATTTGGCCACATTCAATTTCACCGATGTTAGGGGGGGGGGTCACGGTGAGCAATATCATGGGGTTGGATTAAGTGCTCAAGATTCAAAATCATGGTAGGGTTAATGGAAGTACCAAAATGTTCTTATACTAGGCGGGTGCCCGTGCGTTGCCATGGGGGCAAATATTTATTAACACAATAAGAAGACTGTATGAGACAAATCTTTATGCCAAATAAATAGATAAAATAAAATTATGTTTCGGTTATATAAAGTGTATTTTTTTCATTTATTAAACTGGCAAAATAGGTATGTGCTCGTAGTTGATTTGCTTTATTGGGTTCCAAAGACAAGATATTGACCGATATTTATTTGTCTACAAATAGGTAATTTATTCCTATTTATTTAGTTACCAAAAATCGATGAAGGATGGGAGTTTGGACAAAGGGGTGGTGGGGAGAAAGTGTAAGATGGAACCATGTGTTCTTTCTAAGTAGTATATAGATATAGATAGATAGATGGATGGATAGATATAGATTGAGAATACGAGATTGGTTGATATTTATTTGGCTACGAATAGGGAATTTATTCCTATTTATTTAGTTGCAAGAAAATCGATGGAGCATGGGAGGTTGGACAAAGGGGTGGTGAGGAGAAAGTGAAATATGGAACCTTATGTTCATCTTAAGTAGTATAGTAGAGATGAGTTCCAAATAACTGCAACCTTGTAATCATGGTTAAAAAAGTTATGTCATCATGACATACAATGGTGCATGTGTAATTTTTTCTATAACTCTGTGTAGCCATGGCATGAGACAAACTACTATTCTCATCCCCACACTTTGCCCATTTCATCTTAGGTCTGCTCTTCCAATATATTCTCTTGGCTTCATGCAACTTAAGTAAATGAGGCTTGAGAATTCTCCCGGCATTATTTTCCATGACCGAAAGATCTCTCTAGTCCCCCAGACCATCAAGCATGGTGAGAACACAACTGCGGTATTCAATGATATCGTTGAGTTGAAGAGGTTTTTGCTTCATTTTTTCAGCCCATGTCACAAGGATTCTTTGGCAATAATGACTTAAGCAGAATTCTGCCCAAATATGTTCTTATTCCAACAAT